CCTGGAATTTCAGTTTTAACTGTCAGAATCTGTATACTGCTTAAGAGCTCATGAATTCCCTTAACTTGAACAAACTAAGAAATTGCTGGTGGCAAACATTCAACCTTTGTGTCATATCACACGTACAAGAAAAGTCAGTAGGAAAACACAATGACACCACAGCTAGTTGCTTAAAATTCTCCTTTTCATTTTATACATTGCAAACTTCCAGAATATTTGACAGCCTAAAAAAGGCTTCCTTTAGTGGTCAGCAGGTCAATTATATTTTTGCTTACATGTGCTCATAAATTCTGAGTTTAAGCATTTGCTTTTGTCCAGTCTTTCCTGAAGAAACTTGAAACTCCCAAGGTGCTTTTTTAAAAAAAAAAAAAAAAAACAAAAAGCAGCAGTTGTTACAAGCAAAGGAAATAATGACCCAGCCCTTCCTTTTTAACACAGTTGCATTAATCTTTCATTTGATTAAATCCTTACCCAGAACAAATCACACTCCTAATCAGGTAAAATATTCCCTGTGCAAGGTAGCAGTTCCTTCACACCAGGTTGAACTGCGTGATGTGCTTATTTCTAACATTATACTGCATCGCTGCTGGACCCCAGGGGGTTATTGCGCTCAGATCCTGAATTCAAGAGATGATTAGAATCAAGGGTCCTCTCCACCATATCAAGACTCATGAAAAATGACGCTTGTACTCTTGTTCTCCTATCATGCCCCTCACTGCAATACCCCTGCTTTCTTTGTCTTGCAGGCACTGAAGAGCCTAGTGCAGCTGGTCAATGCACTTCTGGTTCACTAACTAGTTCTGCTTGCACTCTGAGCCAAGGAAAGTCAATGAAATAGTGCTGTAGCAAGAGCTCCTCCTGTAATAATAACCTATGGCGGAGGAGTGCCTCTGCCCTGTAACTTAGCGAGCAGCTATGCATTTATCACTTGACTGACATCAGCTTGATAGAAGAATCCCACCCACTCAGTGTCTTGTTCTTTGGCTTTTTGCACACTGTGCAGAGTGCAGCAAGCTGTAATGTTACATGTGCCCCATACAGTGCTTGCATCTGAGTGTCTGTGTACATTATACTGCTGTACTGCAACTGCTGCGAAGGAGATTATGCCCAAACAGAAGCAGGCCCATTAGCCTGCATGGGACTCTTCGTGAATAAAGCACTCTTTGGTGCCTGCATGACAGGACGGAGGCCCATGTCTTTTTTCCCTGTAAGAAGAGAGAGAAGAAGCTTACAGTCAATGGTCCATTTACAGCCATGTTGATATAAACCCCTCAGAGCTCCTTGAAAGTAATGTGTTTTTATACCCATGGAAATAAAAGCAGAACACAGTCAACGTGGTTTTCACTCACAAGTTTCTAAACGTGTTTGCTAATAGCTGTTACTGCCTGGGGGTATGGCCTATGTTATGGCAGGTAGGGGAAGAGCATGTTGGGATTGCGCAAGACTTATGGGATGTTTAGGGCAGGAAACAAAGGTGGGGAAAGGAAGGGGTCAGGGTGGTTTGGGGAAGAACAAATGTGGGGGAAAAAGCAAGATAAGGGCATAAAAGAGCCAGTCATATTTAAACAGGTTGCTGGTCAGTACGCTTGTCTGGCCATGCCCTGCACGTGATCAGCACAGTCTGTCCTGTCTTTTATTAAATTCCATTTCCAGCTATTTCCCTGGGTGAGGGTACTTGTTCTGTGTTCATATGTGCGTATGGAGGCCTAAGCACCAGCAGCCAGACTAGGATCATGAGTCAGAGAGCTCGTGTGTCTGTGATACCTGCAACTGGAGAAAGCGAGGGTATGTAAGCCAGCGTGCAGTTACTACCAAATATCAAGCCTGATTAAACAACAAGTAGGTTAAGTGCCTGGGGAGCCAGATGCGAGTGTGTGTGTCCCTAAGGGCGCAACCACAAGAGAAGTTGGCTACTAGAGGGACCAAGGGGTCCCAGCCAATTGCTGGAGAGACCATGAGGTCTGGGGGCTGAGACCCATGTGCATGTGAGTGTCTGCCTGTCTTTCTAGGGGAGGGAAACTTAGGAAGAGAGAAGACTCCGGGGCAATTACTGGGTAGAGGGTCTAAGCCCAGCTGCTGGTGGATGCACACTGTACACACATGTATATATGTACTTCCCACTAAGGGACCTTCCTCCTCATCAGCCAGAGAGGGGAACAAGATGAGGTTTTTGGTGCTATGTGTGTTTGAGTGAGTGCTCTGCCTGTGTTGACCTCCACGGCCAGCCATGCACGTGTTGTACACGTGTTTGTGCTACTGGGAATACATCTTCAGCCTTGCTACTGGTGGGATCTGGGGGCATGGAGTTGCAGCAGCCTTGCCTCCATCGGACTACTGGATTCAGACTCCTCCTAACACACAAAACATTTATCTGGCACTTAATTAGGTTAATTTATTTTCAAGTCCAATGTGTCAAAATTATAATGTCTGACAGACATTTCTTGAAAGAAAATGAGCAGTAAACATTTCAGAAACAAAACCTCGAGCAGAGGATGCAGGGTAGCAGAGGTATGGGGGACCTGTAACTATACAGATGTTGTTTTTTCCTTCACTGAAAATAGGGATATAAAAAAAATTTTTTTTTTTGCTTTATAGACAAACAGCTTTCTTCCGTAATTTCTTTGTGGATTCTTCCAGCTCTAATACCTCTACCTATGTACTGCAGTAAGGATTTGGCTGTTGGAGTTTGGAGGGACTATATGATCCCATTCATATTTAGATTGTGACTGTTAGATAAGCAAAGCCATGCACTGAAGGGTATGCAAGCACACCCTGATACGGGTGGCGTGCGCACCATGATGGACGCACAGTGGTTTTCAGGGTTCCTCAGACAGCATTAAGAGTTCCCCTTTAATAAAGTGTAAAACTTACTTATTGAATGTCATCTACTTTCAACGTCTCACATCCTCCTCTACTCCTTTCCAATACGTATATGCTAGGAAGCTTGGTAAGAAGTAGCAGGAGCAGATTTCTGTTTATGTGCCATGAGTTACTGATACTAAAGCTAAGTTCGTTACATCCCCTGCATAAATTAAGCACTGTTAATTTGGAAAAGTGTTTTATAGGTCTCACTTATCTTCCACTTTTGCTGCCAATTAGGAACTAAGCAGGTATGCTGTAATTCTGAGCAACTATTTTCATGCTCTGAATTTGCCCCATTTGTCTAAAAAGGCTTTTTACAATTTTGTGGAGGCAGAGATAATTATTTTTAGTTTGCACAAACAAATACTCTAAGTAAAATGAGAGTTTCTCCTTTCATTTGCCATATACTGCAAAATAAAATCCTTGGAAGGTGTTCTTGCACCTGGTGACGCAAGTCTATCCAATTCCTTGCACTGTTTAGGTCAGGTCATTTAGTTAGGTAATTTACAATGGAATGAGATGTGTTCGGAGAACAGAATTTAGTTTATGACCAAAACAGCCAGCAATTGTCTGGACTGTGAAATTACCTTCAGTGACAGGGAAAAGTTACTTCTTTAAAAAAAAAAAAAAAAAAAGCAAAATGAAAATATTTGGTAAGACTAGACTGTATAAGCTTGAATTTGTTTTAAGAGGGTCATATTAGAACACGAGCACTGCTGGGCAGTTTATCTCTTGTCAAGTTACTCCCTTACTTTGACACACTTATGTTATAGTAGTAAACTTTTTGTAATAGTATAGAGAAAGCCAAAGAGAATGTCAAAGTCATCTGCTCAAATGGCTAACAAGAAGACCAAAGATTCAACAATGCCTAAAGGTTACAAGGCGCTTCCAGTAACTGAGTTTCCCAACAGCAACAGACACCCACCAGGAAGTACGAGGTATCGTGATGCTGTTACGCGCTTTGAAGAACGGCTCGGTAGGCCTTCAGGAGTCACGTGCGGAGACAGAAGTGTCTCGAAACCTAAGATCACTCTCTAGCTGTTTGTTGCGTTTTTTTTCTTAAAAGTATGCAATAATGTAAATTATGCATTTATTGCTGTGTTTTGTGAAATATGCAATCTCTGCTCTCATATTTTCATGTTTCACTTTCCTGACTTCTGGTTAAGCAATGAAGAAAGGCCTAAACACCAATTTTTTTTTAACCCTTCTCTTAATGATTTGTTACCTGTTTTTTTAAGTCCCTTGACAACATCTATCAACCATGCAAGTATTCATGTAGTGAAAGTTTAGTTAAATAATTTAGCTGGGTTTTACCGAGTGTTTAAGGAAAGGAAAACCAAACTAAACGCTATCAAGAAAATAAAAAAAAATTTAGGAAGTCTGCTTTCTGTGGAGACAGGCAGGGCTACACCCTGTGTTTCGCTTCGGCGTGGAGCCCTCTTCTCTTACAAACGTTTTGCCTCCCCGTGTCCCCTGAGGAGCAGGGGAGGGAGTTGCTGGGGGTCGCTACGGTCAATGCTGCTGGTGAACCAGGCCCTGGCAGGTGAGAAGGTAAAAAGCAAATTTAAAGCAAAAGAAACACAGGTGAGTTGGTTTTTGGGGGGTGTTTTTGCCCGAGGTGTGTTGGGGGGG